GGATGGTTGTGCGTAACCTCCAACCCAAACTAATGCAAAAAATGATCGTGCTCCCCTTCCCTACCTTTCCGGATCTGCATGAGATGGGGGTACAGATCGAGGATACTATGAAGCAGGGCCTTATTGATCAGGAGAAGGAGCAACCCAGGAGGGCGTTTACCGGCAGTTCGAATGCGACCACCAGCGGTGACGCAGCTGCAAGATCTTCCGAAGTGGGCATGGTCGCCACCACCACACCAAGCCAATCGTACCCAAGCTCCCGAGCCGAGGCAACTTTGGTAATGACGGATACATGGCCTTTGGCACCGAGTCAAGGTTTCCTAAATTCCCCCATAAAAATATTTAGGTGGCGACTCTGTATCTGGCAAAGCAGTCCATGTTTGGCATTTCTTTCAAAAATCTATTTTCTCAAAACGATTTGCCAGATTTGGACTCTTTAGTTCAGATTAAGAACGGTGACACAAATCGAGTCCGAACTGTAGCGGGGTCCCTCGCGGACGTGCTACAGTTTCTGGCGAGTCTGGTGGGGATTTTAGAGAGCTTGACTCAAACTCGTGATATCCTGTTTTGATTACACATATGTGTTTCTTTGCATTGCATGTGCATTGGTGCGCCTAAGACACCGTGTTTGCCATCTGCCATTCCTGAACGGTTTGCCGGAGGCTTGTCTTGTCAAGGCATGACATAAGGCTGACCGGTTATGGGCTCTGACAGTATGGGAACACAAACCCCGTTTTACCGAGGCACCCTTTTTGACATTTCGACCTAGTGCATATTCGGAATCCATAGTGACCATTCCAAACTAGTACAGGTTGCTCACCCGATGTTAGGTTGTTTGAAACCGCTGTGTGCGTAGTGAAACCCTAGTTCCTGACAAAATAGGATAGGGAAACCCTCTTCAAACCCGTTAACTTTTAACTTCAGTTCTGATTGGGTTCCTCCTTTCCAACTTGATATTATAATGTTGTCATCTTGTAAGTTGGGGCCTCATTTCCCAAAATGGCTTCAAACACAAAATAACTTCTCCCAGCTTGATATCTCAAGTAATGGAATTTCAGATGTTGTTCCTAGTTGGTTCTGGGATCTATCCCCAGGTTTAATTTATTTAAATCTCTCTTGCAATCTGATCAAAGGCTTGTTGCCTGATCTATCAGTGAAGTATCATGGTTACCTTGGTATAGATTTAAGTTCAAATCATTTTATGGGTCCAATACCACTAGTTCCTCCCAATGTAACAGTTTTGAATCTCTCCAAAAATGAGTTCTCAGGTTCACTTTCTTTCCTATGCGCAATTATGGGTATGGGGCTCATCTATCTTGACCTCTCAAATAACTTGCTATCAGGAGAGCTTCCCAATTGTTGGGTGCAATTCACAAGACTATCCATAATTAGTTTGGCATACAATAATTTGTATGGGAAAATTCCGAGCTCAATGGGTTCCCTAGGCATTTATTCTTTGCACTTGAGCAACAACAATTTCTCTGGGGAAGTTTCTTCTTCATTAAACAGATGCACAAAGTTAAGAATGATTGATCTGGGAGGAAATAAATTCACAGGAAAAATACCAGCGTGGATAGGGACACACCTAACAAGTTTGATTGTTCTTAGTCTGCGATCCAATGAGTTCAAGGGAAGCATACCTCGACATATATGTCACCTTACCAAAATTCAAATTTTGGACTTCTCCAAAAATCGTTTATCAGGAAACATACCACACTGTTTTCACAATTTTACTGCCTTGGCGGAAAGTAAGAGTTCTAGGGCAATCAGTTTTCCTTCTTATGGGACATTTGAACCCTTCTTTGTTAGATTTTCCAGTTATATTGAGAATGCATTGGTGTTGTGGAAAGGACAAGAGTCAAAATACGGAAATAATTTGAGACTACTAAACCTCATTGATCTTTCTGGCAATGAACTTGTTGGGAAAATTCCTATACAAGTTGGGGGTCTTGCGGGGTTGGTTTCTTTGAACCTATCAAGAAACAATTTGACAGGAAATATCATCCAAGAAGTTGGTTGGATGAAAATGTTGGAATCTCTTGACTTGTCTGCAAATGAGCTTTCGGGCGCGATTCCTACCAGCCTCGCTGATCTAAATTTTCTCAGTGTGTTGAATTTGTCACATAACAGGTTGTCGGGAAGAATCCCAATAAGCACTCAATTGCAAAGCTTTGATCCCTCTGTATACTCAGGAAACCTTGAACTTTGTGGACTTTCACTTCCAAATAAGTGTCCAGGAGAAGAAATAGTTGTGGAACCTCCAGTTCTTGTTCGTGGCAAAGACAGAAGGATTCAAGAAGACGATGACAAGTTTATTACCACTGGATTTTATGTTAGTTTGGGGCTGGGTTTCACCCTTGGATTTTGGACAGTTTTTGGCACTATACTTTTTAACAAACCATCTAGACATGCTTATTTCGAGTTCTTGGACCGCATAAAGAATTGGTTTTATGTGACAACTGCACTAAGTATGAATAGATTGCAAAGGAGGCTTCAGAGGTAAATGGTAAGTATCTTTTTTTAATTTTGTTACTCCTCTTATCTTTTTATGTCTTGATCATTGCCAACAAGTTAGATATTTTGCATTTTATTTTTTTTTTATTTTTTTTTGAAATCCTACATAAGCTGATTTAAGCACAGTACACTTGCTATTTGCTTGAGCTTGTGGTTTTACTTAGGTCTATTTTCTAATTGTCCTACACATGTGCACGTCTATTTTGCAAGCTATCTTCAGCTCATTGCTGCCAAGATCTATCTATATGGTAATTTCTATTGCCACCCTAATTTTTAACCAAGGAATTTGCTTGACATCCACTATCTGTCTAGTTGTCATTGATAGATAAAATGATCCAAAAATTAGCTTTACCTTCTGATCCGCTTCTGTTTAATTGTATCCAACTTCTATTCCTCCATACATTTTTTTTTGCCCTTTTTTACAGAAGTCATTCACTTGTACTATAATTTTGCAAAACTGATCTTGTAATAGCAGTGATCATGATGTGCACTGCCATTGCAAACATAAACACAAAACACTACAGTTGTGCCATATTCATGCGATGTACTGAATTGATCCTCTGTTTATAAACTATATTGGTGGCTGCCCAATATTTATTTATTTATTTATTATCAGCAAAGTCAGTAGGCTTTAATTTAACTGATAATCACATTGTTGTTTTTTTTTTTTTTTTGTTTCCATTTTTTTGCTATGTTTTCCAAAGAAGCTAGGCTACACTTGAGAGAGACACGAGCATCGAGTTCGGAGCTATCAGCACCAACTGTTACTAGGCCCTCTATGTATTTCTTGAAATGATAAAATAACTTCATCAATATTTATTTTCAAGGGTAATTATATTGTGGATTGTGTGTTTGGAAGGATTGCAATCTGTTTTTGCTATCAAATGTTTGTTTTATTACAAGTCTAGTTAATTTTGTAAATTATTGGGCATGATTATTTACTCGTGACCGGCTTGTTGTATGAAAATATGGCTTTTGTGTGAGACTTCTGATTAGAGGAATTTTTTCTACTTTCAAGAATCTCTTGATTTGTCTGCAAATGAGTTTTCTATGTGAGATTCCTACCAATCTTGCTGATTAAAATTTTCTTAGTGTGTTGAATTTGTCAAATAACAAGTTGTCAAGAAAAATCCCAACAAGCACTCAATTGCAAAGTTTTGATGCCTCTGCATATTCTCCGAATCCTAAACTATGTGAGCTTCCACTTCCAAATAAGTGTCGGGGAAACAAAATAGTTGTGAAATCCCATTGCAAAGACAAAATGATTGAAGAAAAAGACAACGAGGACAAGTTTCTTACCCTTGGATTTTATGTTAGCATGGGGCTTGGTTTTACCTTTGGATTTTGGGCAGTTTTGGGGCATTATGATTTTTAACAATCCATTAGACATGCTTATTTTAAGTTTTTGGATTGCATAAAGAATTGGTTTTATGTGACAATTGCATTTTTTTTATGTGACAACAGCATTGAATGTGGTTAGACTGCAAATGAGGCTTTAGTGGTATCGGTTAGGTTTTTTTTTTTTTTCAATTCTGTTACGTTACATTTTTGTGTCATGATCATTCCTTTTTTTTTTTTTTTCCTTTTCAATTCTTACATAAGATATATCGCTTTACATAAGATGTATCCCTTGAATTTGTAATTCTTGTGTAGGGTCTATGTTGGAAGCTACCTTCAGCTCATTGGTCCAAAGATCAATCTGTCTGGTCTTTCCATCCTAATTTCTAACTAATTCTAGTCCTATATAGAAGTCATTTATTAGCATTTTATATTTTTTTTTACTTTTTTTATGATACAATTGTTCCTAAAAAAAATATTTTTAGCAAATGCTAAAAAAATTTGGGTAAATTACACTAACGTCCCCTAAGGTTTATGACAATTACAAAGATCTCCCTCCAGCTTTCTAAAATAACAACCACCTCCCTGGTCAGTCACATTTGACAAACTCTGTTAATAGAAAATGTATTTTTACATTTTTACTGTCATCTATTTATTTAATTTTAGTGTAGAAAGCCAAAAATTTAACAAATCTTGCTATAAACATTTGTAACATTTGATCCTACCCTATTACGCTTATCTTCTTCACTTTAACTCTGCTTTCAACTAGCTACAAAACCAGCACCACCGCACCCTCAAAAACACCATTACTACTAGCCCCAAACCACAGCATCAACCAAGCCCAAGACCCATTAGCACCATAACTGCCCAAGCCCCAACACCGTTACACAACCTCACCCCCTAATCCCACTACCAACACCAACACCAACACAAGCCTCACAACACACAACTTAAAATCCCAAAAAACCTATCACCAAAAATCAACACCCTCAAATCATGGCAAAAATCAATCAACAACCCCAAATTTTTTAGGTGGATAGGTGTTGTGCGTACCGAACACCGTACTAGATGATTGTAGATCGGAGCTTCGCACTTGGTTGAACTGTCCGGGAATTGAGGTCCTGCAACAAGGAGCACCATCAGAGCTGCCCGGCCAGGGTTGGCCGAATAACCCCTCCGGTGTGGAAATGAGTAATCGGGGAAGAAGAAAGATGCTCTATCTAAGTGTAGAGTGTTTTAGTGAGTAGCGTTTAGCTTAGATCAATTCAGTTACCTTCAATGTGAAGTTAGTGTGGTTTATATAGAACTCCTTGCTTGTTGCCCAGCATGGTTTCATGGAGCTCTGGTGCTGCCAAGTTTCCTTTTTATCATTACATAGGGTGGAGGACCATCTGGTAGTTGTCAAAGGGTGCATATACTCATTGTGATCATGCCGATAACAAACCACATTCTTTTGGTTTAACTGTTTCCGTGATTCTAGGTGTAGGGGACCGGCTGAGGTGGCAACTTGCACATGCATATACTCATAGCTTCCACGTTTCTCTGAGAGGCTTCCTCAACTCGGTACCATTGTGCCTCAGCTCGGCCCTTTGCGAGACTATTGTAGGGATGGGCTGGCCCATTCGGATGTCTGTGTATGGACTCGGCCTACTTTGGTTCTGGTGATAGGTTCGGCCCATCAATTCGACCCATAGAATGAATCATGCAGCTCGGCCCTAGCCCAGTATCGCGGCTGGTCTGGCCCTTCCACTGCGAGTTGGGCTTAGTTGGGTTGCCCACATGCCCTATTGATCCCTTTGGGTTTGGGCTTAGGAGATTGCACCGACCCAAGGCTTGGATCCGACCCATTTCGTATTTAGCCCCTTCATTTGCCTCCTAGCTCACGCTAAGGTTCCCCTTGGGAGGAGCTACTGTCTTGTACTCCAAGCGTTGCATTGCTTCGGATCCACCTTAGTTCGGCCTTGGTGACGGTTCAATCCTGACATACATCCCCTGCACGTGTCCTTTCATGGTGGCACATAGCGACGTGGTATTGGTGTGCAAAGATAATGCGCCGACTCCATACTGAGGGTCGTGCTTCATGTGCCTTCATGCCAGCTGGTGCAATAAATGCTCTGGAGTTATCAATCCCAACCCATTCGTCTGTTTTCGATCTTTTAGAGAGATCAAAACCCTCTTCGTTCCTCTGAACCAATCTCTTCGGTGCTCTACTCAGACGTTCCGCTACCGTTCACGTTTCTGCACCGCCTGCTCTGATCTCTGTAAGTTCACCCGTGACTCTTCTTTTTCTATCTTTTTCTGTTTTAATCGTCTTGTTTGGCCCTTGCGTCATTGTCTCCGGTGTCTTGTTATTTGAGTTTTGCCCCTGTCCCATTAGGTTTGTTTAATGGGGAAGTTCCGCTCATTAGTTGATACCCCTTAGGCCATGGCCATGTTTCGCCAAGACTATAATATCCCCGATGACGTGACCCTTTTGCTAGCAAAGGTTGATACCAAGCGTATGGGCACTAGGAGTATCGTCACTTTTCCAATTGCGTCCATTGTTGAGGGAGGGGTTCAGTTTCCCCTCGACCCTTTGGTGCGCTGATTTTTGCACCAAGTCCAGCTTACACCTATGCAAGTGTCTATTAATCTGTTCTGAGTCGTCTGCGATGTGTCCATTCTTAACAAACAGTTGGGTTTGAATCTTGACATCTGGAATATTTTGGGTTGTTATACTCTTTTACATAACAAGGATCACAGCACGTACTACCTTCGTGTTCGTTCGATTGATTGCCATCTTGTGACTAGTCTGCCTGACTCGGATAAACATAATGATGATTTTTTGCAAGTCGGTGGTAATTAGGAGTTCCCTGCTAGGACCGAGTTCCAATCCGAACGGATGCCCCAGAAGGATGGCTACCCAGGTTTGAGTCTTTCCTTCTAGTGCTTTTTGTATTTCTTGCCTTATTTTGAATGTTGATCTAATGTTGCCCTTCTTTTCTACAGAGGCTTCCTGTTTTCAGCACAGGCTGAACCGGGAGAACACCGAGGCCATCAAAGCTGTTCTGAGGTACAAGAAGAGGTCTGCGCCCGAGCTGGTAGACTAACAAGCAACTTACCACTCTACCATTCCAAAGAAGGCGAGGCTTGCTGCATCCCTTCTAGATTCTGACACTGAGGCTGATACATCCATCACCCTTCTGGTTACGAATCGCCGCCGAAGCCAAGGTGCACCGTTTGAGAAGACGCCCTCTCCTACTACCAGTTTCACAAGGGATGGGTCTGTGTCAAAAAGAAGAGTGCTAGTGGAGTTGGAGGCTGAGGCTTTTGGCTCCTCTGATGCTTTGGGGCTCCTTATAAAGAAGAGGTGCTGGTGTTGCGGGACAAGCTGTTTCTAAAGGGTTGGTCCAGTGCTCTAGCGGCTGCTCAAGTTCCTGAGAGGTCTCCATTGTTTCAGGATGTCCTTGTTCCCTCAAGGTCCTTGGGTTCAAAGATTGCTCCTACTCCTACAGTTCTTCCGGCTGAGGTTCCCCCGGAAGTTGATTCTGCGAACAAGACTCAGGAGAGTGATGTCGCCATTGAGACGATGAACGTTGAAGGGGGTGAAACCCTGGAGACTGAAGTCGTGGGAGATGTGGTTAAGGAAGCTTCTACTTCTCAGGAAGTTGG